CACCGACAGATACAGAGTCGACCCATTTTTTACGACCGGAGATCCACAGCAACTGGGAGGAGCTAAAGGAGGGTATTACGTAAAAACAGGCACCAACCGTATCTGGGTACCCGCGTACTCACTACTGAGGGAACTATTACCGTAGGCTGCACATGACGGATTTACCTCAGGACATTTGGGGGTAGAAAAAATGCGTCAGCAATTGCAGCGCTATTACTATTGGTCGGAGCTGTTGAGCGACGTACACCACCACGTGGGCTCGTGTCCTACGTGCCAGGTGATGAAGAGCTCGCGGAAAAGAAAGGTGGGTCAATTGCAGCCGATTCCACCACTTGAGTGTGCCTGGTAGCAGATTACCATGCATTTCGTCACGGGGTTACCTTCGAACCTTGGGGGTAACGATGTAGTTGTGGTTGTTGTTGACAGGTAGACGAAGATGGCACACTTTGCTGCGTGCAAGAAATCGATCTTAGCCAAAGAAACCACTCGCATGTTCATTGCAGCCGTCGTTCGACTGCACGGGATACCAGCCGCGATAATCAGCGACCCCGACACGAAGTTCACCAGCAACTTCTGGAAGAACCTTTGGGAGCAGTTCGGGACCAGGCTACAGTTCAGCTCGTCGTACCACCCCGAGACCGACGGTCAAACGGAGTGAACGAATCGGACAATGGAGCAGTTGATTCGTGCCACGTGGGACGACCCGACAACTTGGGAGTAGTAGCTGCCGCTAATCGAGTTCGCGTAGGACAACGCCACGTCAGCGACGACGTAGCAGTCTCCCTTCTACCTGAACTACAGGCAAAACCCTATAATACCCATGACGCCGAGTCCGGACTGTCAGAATATTATCTTATGTTCTAGCCTGTAGTGGGGTGCTCTATAGCGAGTACAACCCTTCTAGGGTTTGCTATTTGTATCCTCATTCTTGCTAGTTCAACCCTCTTTCCCCTTTCTTTCTTCAAACTTTGTCATGCTATCAGAGCAGGTCGATCCCCTTGGATCGATCCTGTGGGTGGGTTACCACCTCGCTTCCGCTGCTACTTTTCCTTCCCGCCGTGCGCCCCGAGGCGCGCGGCGGTTTTCCTTCCCGCCGTGCGCCCCGAGGCGCGCGGCGGTTTTCTGCCCGCCGTGCGCCCTGAGGCGCGCGGCGGGCGTCTGCCCCGTCGTTCGTCGCGTCGCCTTCTGGAGGCGCCGCGACGGGCGACGGGGACCCGTCGCGGCCCCGCTGCCCTACCTTCGCGGCCACCCGCCGCCCTACCTTCGCGGCCACCCGCCGCCCTACCTTCGCGGCTACCCGCCGCCCTACCTTTGCGACCCACCCGCCGCCCTCACCTTCGCGGCCCCGCCGCCCCTTCTGTCGCGGCCTCACCGCCCTACCTGCGGCCTGTCGCCCTACCTGCGGCCCCGGCCCCGTGCCCCTACCTGCGACCCTCTCAGGCCCGTGGTGGGCCCCTTTCTCCACCCCCCCCCCCCCCCCCCCCCCCTTTTCCCGTCGTCTGTCGAGGCGACCTGAGGGGGCCGCGAGCTGTGGGGTGGCGGGTATGGGGGTGGTCGGTGTTAAGATTAGGAGCATAGTAGCTTAGGGTTTGAACTAGGTGAGGGTGACGAGAGGAAATAGCAAGCCAAAAGAGGGGTTCACTAATGAGAAATGAGAGTACAAATAGGCAAACAGCAACACAAAGAGGTGCACCACCAAACATGATGCAATAACTACACTACAACTGCAAACGATTATATAAAATATGTGAACATATTTTGACACGCCCCCATAATTGTTTGCAGGAGTAAGTGTAAAACGCCCCCTGATGGGGTACACCAAGAGTGCAGCGGAAGAAGCAGAAGCAGGCAAGAGCAGTAGTAGCCGGTGCAGGAGTGACAAATACAGCTGTAGCACGCCCTCAGCCAAAGTAGAAGCAGTAGCTGGTGTAGGGGCGGCAGGTCGCTTGAGGAGCAGGCTCTGTGGCTGCAACGTGCAGCAGGACAGCAGCGGCTCGACGGCAACACCTGCAGGCCCCAGCAGCAGTCAACAGAAACAAGGGCAGGTGGAGGCAGGGGCGGCAACAGGAGGTGCCACGGTAGCAGCGGGTGGCAGCTGCAATTTCCTGACTGACTTCCGCCACCCTCTCTTACCCTCCCCCCCACAGCAGCACGAGCGGTAGTGAGAGAGAGAGGAGTGGAGGCTGCTGGCTTTGCAGAATCTCTCTCGCCGCCCCCTCACACTCCCCCTGCCCCCTTTCACTGGCGTACGAGCAGCACGTGCGGGGCAGGGGAGCGGCGCAGTTGTGCGCGGCCATACGCGGCTGTGCGCGGCTTCACGTGCCCGTACGTAGCTTTGCGCAGCTGCGCGTGGCTGTGGCAGCTCGTAACGGGGCGGGTAGCGCGGGGCGGGTGACAGGGCGAAGAAACAACGGGGCGACCCGAGCCGCCCAGCTCGTCGCCATGACAGCAGGGTCGACGATGCAGTGCGACAAGCAGGAGACGGGCAGGTTACGGGCAGCAGCAGACAGTTCGCCGTCGCGCCCGTCACGTCAGTCGCAACTAAGGGCACGACGGGCGCTACAAACCGAGAAATACGCGGTGGGCCCATTGAGAATGAAAAGGTTAGGTCTTAGGACGACCTAGCTCTGATACCATGTTAAGATTAGGAGCATAGTAGCTTAGGGTTTGAACTAGGTGAGGGTGACGAGAGGAAATAGCAAGCCAAAAGAGGGGTTCACTAATGAGAAATGAGAGTACAAATAGGCAAACAGCAACACAAAGAGGTGCACCACCAAACATGATGCAATAACTACACTACAACTGCAAACGATTATATAAAATATGTGAACATATTTTGACAGTCGGTGTGCATTCCTCCCTTTGCTCTATTATATATATCATCACGTCAGCGACGACGCAGCAGTCCCTGTTCTACCTGAACTACGGGCAAAACCCTATAGTGCTCATGACGCCGAGTCCGGACAACCCAACGCCACGTGCACAACAACTTCCCGAGATTCTGCAAGCTGCCGGCACCAGAGCCGCCGAAGCAATTAAAAAAACAAATATCATCGCTAAGCGTAACGCTGACCGCCACTGTCGCCCAGTCACGTACCGTTCGGGAGATTACGTGCTACTCGACACACATAACTTAAGACCGCCCGTCATACCAAAATTACGACCGCACTACTGTGGACCCTTCCAAATCAGAGACATGATCACCCCAGTTACCGCCCATTTACTGTTGCCGACAGACTGGTATATCAACCCATCATTCCACGTCAGCCTGCTTCGCCCATATATCCCAACCACGAGCCAACCGCCTTGTCACCGCCCGCTATCCATGGCCCGCCCTGCATCGGAGCCGATAATCGAGCCTGAAAAAATTCCGAGCCATCGGATTCGACCCTCTTCGGGAATCAGGAGGATTGAATTCCTCGTTCGCTGGAAGGACCGCACACCAACTGAGGATAGTTGGGTGCTTCTGGCTAACATTGAAAACCACCCTGCCCTGCAATTGTACCGAAGGAGCCGGGTTTTCCGCGATATACACGGACTGGCGTAACGTAGTGGGCTTCTTGAGGGGGGATAGTGTAAGGAATTTTCTCGACATTCCTTAGTGCATCCTGCAACATCGCGTACAGCAGCAGCCGTTGTTCGTTCGTTATTGTGAACGTGGCTTCGCGCACTGTTTAACCAAACCATGCACCGCTGGCCCAGCCGTATCGGCCTACACTTAGGGACTAGCTCGAACCTAGATGCCTGCCTAGCACTAGCTAGCTCGCAAGCACAGCGTTACCGTTTGCATGTTTCATGCGTTCGCTCACATTTTGTACTCTTTTGACATTTTGTGAAATCCTTGCAACCTTGATTCATTGCACCCGTAAGGGCGGGTTCAGCTTTGCCCACTCCTACTTGTCAAATTTAACTGTACCCCAGGGCGTAGTACTAAGATTCCCTGTCCAGTTCGGAGTATACAGCGGGGAATTTTGACGAGGTACATGATCGTTGCGAGGCACATCACCTGGAAAGGGAGTTACCAAATATTGCGAGTGTTTCCGCATCTAAGGCGAAAGTGATGATAATATCATGGCGAAAGGGTGTTGGCGAAAAGGGGGCGTTACTGTTTGACGACTTTGACGGGAAGCGATTTGGGAGACGAACCTTTGGAACGCTCCACACGTCCCGGGGCCGGTTTCCGAAATGAGCTCATTTATGTACAGTCTCGCGTCAAACTGTTTTCGTACGTGAAAAGTTATGTTACATGCTTAATTCTGGAAACTGAGCTGAAAATTTTCCGTACATGTACAAAGTTTGACCCGCCCGTAACAGTTGGGTATTCAAGCGAATTGTTCGACTCGCCTCCAGATCATCCAACTAGATCAGGCAGAGAGAGACGACTACAGTCCGTCTAGTCTCCTAATGGCAGTTTGCCAATCCACCAATCGAGTCTCCATTCCGACTGCTCTGTCACGGTCGCGTACCATGTTGCGCATCTTATCTCAAAAGTTTTAATATCCAAGTTATTTTTCACCTGCACTGTGCGCGCTAGTTTCGTGCAAGGGACGCGACGCGCAGTCGCAATGGTAGGCCCGCAAACCACGACTGCAGAGAGGACCGGCCGATCGAATTTCAATCCGATGGCTGAGAAAACGCACGGAGGTCCGGCTGGTCGATCCCTGACCGTCGATGCGATCCAGCGCGACCGCTTGATGAAGATCGCAGCCGTAAACTGGCTAAAATCCGAGAGCTCGCTTCCGCACTCACGCGTAGTCGCGACTGACAAATATGGAGACGGCATTCCCAGGAAAGCACCGAAGCCTCCTACCGCAATCCGGTTCAATCCCGATCTGGTTCGGAGAATCTATAGGGAGGATCTGAAAGTGACACGTGGCAGGAAACCGGTGCCATTGCAGCGCGTGATGGTTCTGGAAGTGAGCCAGTATCTGGAAAAATACCTATGGCCGAATTTCGACCCAGATACCGCGTCCGTGGAGCACGTGATGTCTATTATTCTCATGGTCAATGAAAAGGTGCGGAAATTTTGTTCCATGATTTGTTTGTTTCGTCAGTTATCTTATCCATCTGTTATTATTGTTGACTTCTCCAGTTGATGCAGTTCCTGTTTAATTGCAGAGTACAACGACAAATTTGATAATTGCCTCATGCGTTGGTGGTGATATTGGTCAAGTCGTTGCTGCTATCGCTTGTGCATGTCAAATCTTGGCCCTGATTCCTGGCGATCAACCTCAACGTCCCTGACCTAAAATCTGATTTTGATTTGAAGTCCTTAATCTTAGCCTTGGTTTCCTGTTAACATACATCCACGGTCCACGCACCCGTCCCATTCCAAATTCTTGTGTGGGTTTTGTCCCTTCTTCCATTTGTGCCTTTATTCTACATTCTTGTTCCCTGTTAGTTCCGCGAGAATGTCTCCGCATGGGACTGCTTCCAGTCTCGCACTGACATCTTCCCTGCATTCTTCAATCGAGTCCTTGCTCTCAAGGTAAATCCCAGCAATGCTGCCATCATTTCCCCTCCTAAAGCCCACGTTGTTCAGTATTTTCTGATCGTTATGTGTCCTTCTGCATGTATTGTTCTCCCCCCACGCGCTTTCTCGTGTGGAATGGAACCTCTGCTTACCGCACATGATCATTCATCATCGTATCTCCGTCGGTCGGTACCCGTTTTCTTCTTCCCAGGACCCCAAGCGGAAGGTGGGGAGCAAGCGAGCTCGGCAGGAGGAGCAGGCGGAGGAGCAGGCGGAGGAGCAGGAGCAGAAGCAGCAGGAAGAGAAGCAGCAGGGAGAGCAGGAGCAGGAGGAGCAGGCGGAGGAGCAGCAGATGTCTGTTGAGGGAGATCAAGTTCAGGCGGAGGATGGAGCAAACAAAGAAGCTGCTGCGGAGGGCAACGGAGCAGAGGGAGAGGGAGGAGAACCGAAGGAGAGTTCAGGCGCAGCAGAAGGGGAGGGAGGCGGAGGGGAAGGAGGGGGAGGGGGTGCTGAAGACAAGAAGGAGGTGAAGGAACAGGGAAATGGCGGATCTGCTGTTGGCGGAGGAGAGGAGTACGAGCTGAGCATATATGAGCGCGTGAATTACATCGTCTTCATCATCCACTGCTTCCAGGTGAGGAGCTATTTAGCTTGTTGATAGGAAGTTAGGGAAGGTTAGGGGAGGCGAGGAGGAGTACGAGCCGAGCATATATGATATGAGCGCGTGAATTACATCGTCTTCATCATCCACTGCTTCCAGGTGAGGCTCTCCTGCCTTTGTGAAGGTGGCCTCTAGCTTGCTGCGGTTGGGGGCGTTGTCAAACACATCCCCTCCTGCACTGCATCGCTGTCGTCATCCACTTCTTCCCCCACCCCTCCGCGCTCCCCTTCCCCCTCTTCCCCCCTACCCCCCCAGTCGCTGGAGAATCCGTTGGTGCGGGCGTGTGTGCTGCCGCTGGTGTCGCTGCCCCTGTGGCATGCGCTCTCACCGGCCCGCAGGGAGCGCGAGCTGCTTTTTTCCACGGTTCTTAATACCCTTCTCTATCCTCATCTCCCTCCCCCCATGCCTCTTCTCTCCCCCCCACGCCTTTCCTCTCCACCCCCGCCCCCCATTCCCCCAGTCGCTGGAGAACCCACTGGTGCGGGCGTGTGTGCTGCCGCTGGTCTCTCTCCCCCTGTGGCATGCGCTCTCACCAGCCCGCAGGGAGCGCGAGCTGCACCCCCACGCGCACCTGCTCGCCCTCTGGTCGCGCCTGCTCAAACGGGACGCCAAGAACCGCCACGCCAGGCTGGCTGCTGTGGCGGAGGGTGGGGAGAAGCGGGCCGAGGCGGAGGCGGCTGAGCGGAAGGAGAGGCGCGGGGTTCGATTCCTGCCTGGGTTGATTCTGGAGTTCTTTTCTGTGAGTGATAGGCTCTTTCGGAGCGGTTGCAGGCCAACTCTGTGCTAGGATATGCTATCTGCGTGCATCCCTCTTTGTGGTACGACTCGAAGGAAATGGAGTTGTATCTAAATGTTTGCTGGTGGCATGTTTCATTTGACGACATGCCATCTCCATCTCTACGAGGGCCCGGACTACGAGGACGACCAGAGCGAGTCTGCTGGGGTGCTGCTGGAGAGAGGGTGTTTAGGGGACCTAATTCTCTTTGTCTTTCCGTCTCTATCTTCTGTGTGTGCTGCTGTGCTGCTGTGTGCCCCCCTGTGTGCCTCAACGCCTGCCAGGTGTTGGACGAGGTGGTGGAGAAGGGCCCGGACTACGAAGACGACCAGAGCGAGTCCGCAGGGGTGCTGCTAGAGAGGGCAGTGGACCACCCGCGGCTTCTCTTTTGCGAGCGCTTCCTGGAGCTGCTCATAGACCTGCTCAGCCAGCTGCCCACACGCAGGTATGTACGGGTTTGTGCATGCATGCATGTACCTATCGGTGCATGTGTGTTTGCATGTGTGACTGCTTTGTAAACCCCCCTTCAACCACCCGCGGCTGCTCTTCTGCGAGCGATTCCTGGAGCTGCTCATAGACCTGCTCAGCCAGCTGCCCACACGCAGGTACGAATGCGTGTGCGTGTATCTATCAGTGCATCCTCCCTAACCATTCTTCCGTTTCACTCTTGACCCCACTGTCACGTTCCCGTTGCCCTTCAATGATCAGGTTCTTTCGTCCTGTAGTGGATGACATGGCCGTCGCCGCCCGGTGCCGCCTGAGCCGGCTGTACCGGCACCAGCGTGGCCGTCTTTTTGTGCAGCTGGTGGATCTGCTGCGATTCTACGCTAGATTCCAAATGGACGACCACGCCGGGCGGCAACTGGATGAGGAGGAGGTGGACAGGGAGCACTGCGCTCGTGTGTCGGCCCTTCAGCTGTTCCTCTTTAACAAAGTGCCAGAGGTGAGGGCCACATGTAACATTTACTTACACAGCTGCTCAGATGCAACGGAGTGCTGGAGATGAGGGTTGCATGAGACACATAATGGCACATCAGGACGAGGAGGTGGATAGGGAGCACTGCGCTTGGGTGTCGGCCCTTCAGTTGTTCCTCTTCAACAGAGTGCCAGAGGTGGGTGTTGTGAGATTGTTGGCGATGGGCGGTATTATCTGCACCTACCTACACAACTGGATGGCTGCGCTTGTGTGTCAGCCTTTCAACTCAACTGTTCCTCTGTAACAAAGTGCAAGAGGTGAGGGTTAATTGAAAGACCTGGTTACACCGACTGGATGAGGAGGAGGTGGGACAGGGAGCACTGCGCTCGAGTGTCGGCCCTTCAGTTGTTCCTCTTCAACAAATTGCCAGAGGTGAGAACTATTAGATTGTCAGCGGTGAGTGAGTGGTGTCGGGTGCACATAGTTATGCTATCCAAGTGGACGAGGAGGAAGTGGATAGGGAGCACTGCGCTCGTGTGCCAGCCCTTCTACTGTTCCTCTGTAACAAAGTGCCAGAGGTGGGTGGTGGTAGCGTGGTCATAGCATCCGTGCTGTTAATTCCTGGTTGTTTTGGCTCCTTGCCTTATAAGTCGACTCAAAAGTCACGTGGTCATAGCATCCGTGCTGTTCATTCCTGGTTGTTTTGGCTCCTTGCCTTATAAGTCGACTCAAAAGTCACGTGGTCATAGCATCCGTGCTGTTCATTCCTGGTTGTTTTGGCTCCTTGCCTTATAAGTCGACTCAAAAGTCACGTGGTCATAGCATCCGTGCTGTTTATTCCTGTTTGTTTTGGCTCCTTGCCTTATAAGTCGACTCAAAAGTCACGTGGTCATAGCATCCGTGCTGTTAATTCCTGGCTGTTTTGGTTCCTTGCCTTATAAGTCGACTCAAAAGTCACGTGGTCATAGCATCCGTGCTGTTCATTCCTGGTTGTTTTGGCTCCTTGCCTTATAAGTCGACTCAAAAGTCACGTGGTCATAGCATCCGTGCTGTTTATTCCTGTTTGTTTTGGCTCCTTGCCTTATAAGTCGACTCAAAAGTCACGTGGTCATAGCATCCGTGCTGTTAATTCCTGGCTGTTTTGGTTCCTTGCCTTATAAGTCGACTCAAAAGTCACGTGGTCATAGCATCCGTGCTGTTCATTCCTGGTTGTTTTGGCTCCTTGCCTTATAAGTCGACTCAAAAGTCACGTGGTCATAGCATCCGTGCTGTTCATTCCTGGTTGTTTTGGCTCCTTGCCTTATAATTCGACTCAAAAGTCACGTGGTCATAGCATCCGTGCTGTTCATTCCTGTTTGTTTTGGCTCCTTGCCTTATAAGTCGACTCAAAAGTCACGTGGTCATAGCATCCGTGCTGTTCATTCCTCCTGGTTATGTTTTTTGAGAATTCTTAAGAAACAAAGTGCCAGAGGTGGGTGGTGGTAGCGTATCTATAGCATCCCTGCTGTTCATTCCTGGTTGTTTTGGCTCCTCGCCTTTCATCGCATCTCCCCCGCCCCTCCTCACACTCCCCCCTTAGCTACGTGACGTCGCCCTGACCAACGTGGGAAGTGTGGAGCATGCTGACTGAGTGCGCAAGTGGCTTACTCTGTTTTGAATCCTGTTCCCGTCTCCCCTTCCCCCTCCGCCCCCTGTGCCCCCCCCCCCCACATCTCCTCCCTCAGCTACGTGACGTCGCCCTGACCAACGTGGGAAGTGTGGAGCATGCTGACGACGTGCGCAAGTGGCTTACTCTGTTTTGAATCCTGTTCCCGTCTCCCCTTCCCCCTCCGCCCCCTGTGCCCCCCCCCCCCCCACATCTCCTCCCTCAGCTACGTGACGTCGCCCTGACCAACGTGGGAAGTGTGGAGCATGCTGACGGAGTGCGCAAGTGGATGGGGCGACTCACAGACGAGCAGCTGGCGGAGCTGGTGCTCAACAAGGTAACGAGCGGTTAACATTAGGGTGGTGACCCTAAACCCATGGGTGGAGTGCGGTGCCGATGGTGAAGTAGGGAGTTGCTGCAAAAAGAGTAGGCTTTTGGCTAGCTCAGTAGACACTCGTTTGCAAGTGGATGGGGCGACTCACAGACGAGCAGCTGGCGGAGCTGGTGCTTAACAAGGTAAGGACAAACATAGCCGACCCAGATATGGCATATTGAGTTTAGATTTCTGTATCTCCAACTGTTTTAGGACAAGCGTGCCATATTGAGTAATGATGTCTGGGTAAACAGTGCCCTCGCGCGCGTGCATGCGCGTGTGCGTTTTGTTTCGCACAAGCATGCGTGCGTGTGTGCTCTTTGTTTTCTGTTTGCGCTTGTTTGTTTTTCTATGTTGGGCTGCTATATCATATCATCCCAAACATTCTCCCTTCGTGCTCCAGTACCCTTGATGTATGTTCTGAGAAATTTAAATTCTATTTCCCTGTTGCCCGTTCTACCACCGTGCAGCTGAAGCTGCTGTCTCGAGCAGGCCTGCCATACTGGCCCAATACCAACCTCCCCCCCCCCCCTTCCACCCTTTCCCCTCCCCGCCCTTCTCCCCCTTTCTACCACCGTGCAGCTGAAGCTGCTGTCTCAAGCGGGCCTGCCGTACCGGCCGCCACGCCACCTCCTCTCCTCCACTCGCCGCCCCAAAGCTCCCACACGAATGGTGGTGGAAGAGGGTTCAGAGGAGCAGCAGCAGGAGCAGCAGGAGGAGGAGGAGGAGGCAGAGCAGCAGTACTGGGAGCAGCAGCGGGCCGTGCTCTTCCACCGTCTCCGCCCGTTCCTAGAGGAAGTAGTCGTCTCCTTCTTCGAGAAGAAGCGCTCCCAGCGAGCAGCACTCAACGCACTGCCTCTCTACCCCAACGAGGACGTCATGTGGGACGAGAGCCTCATCCCCAGCGTGAACTACACCGGAGAAGGCTGCTTGGCACTGCCGAAACTTAATTTGCAGTTCCTCACGTTGCACGATTACCTGCTGCGGAATTTCAACCTGTTTCGGCTCGAGTCGACGTACGAGATTCGGGAGGAGGTGCACGATGTGCTAAAGCGGATGGGGGCGAAGGGGAGCATGTACAGCAGCGTGGACCGGGATACGGAGTTCACCGGGTGGGCCCGAATGGCCATTCAGATCTCGTCGTTCCGGATTGTAGAAGTTAAGGCGCCGCTGCTAGGCGAGGTGCAGCCGGCGGCGGTTCTAGCGGAAGTGGAGTACTCTATAGGGGGGTATAAGGCGGCGATGCGGAGCGAGTGGGAGGAGATTAAAGAGCATGACGTGCTGTTCCTGCTTGGGATACACCCGGATGAGATTGCGTTGCAAGCTGCGGCCGATGCTGCTGCGGCACAGGCGGTGGCGCAGGCGAAGCGAGAGGCGGGAGAGGATGGGGCGGAGGAGGAGGAAGCAGCGGCGGATGCTGCTGCGGTGGTCTCGTCGCTGTCCGTCCCGCAGAGATACGGGTTAAGATATGTGCGGGGGTGCGAGGTGATCGAGTTGCGCGATGAGGACAACAAGCTGATGAATGACTTCTCTGGAAGGGTGAAGCGGGAGGAGTGGAAACCACCCAAAGGGAACAAGCGCACAGCTCTCGTCGCCCTCGATCCCGCCCAGTTCCAGCTGGATTTAGAGGCCAATGGAGGGACGCTGAGAGGAGCGCAGGAGGAGGTTTACTCGGCTTTAAACGTGGTGATGCGGAGGAAGCCAAAGGAGAATAACTTCAAGCCGATTCTGGAGTCGATCCGGGATCTGATGAACGAGGAGGCGTCGGTGCCAGGCTGGCTGCATGACTTGTTTTTGGGGTACGATGATCCGGCAGCCGCCAGCTGGCGGCGCATGCCTGCTGAGCTGGCGCCGTGGCGCGTGGAGGTGGTGGATTTCAGAGACACGTTTGTGGATGCGGAGCATTTGAAGGAGTGCTTCCCGGGCTTTAAGGTGCGGTTTGTGGATGCGGATGGGTTTGAGAACCCTGACCCTCAGCCTCCGTTCCGCGTGACTATACCCATGCCGAAGGCGCAGGAGGAGGGGCGTGGGGTGGCAATGGGGGGGAAGAAGAAGGGGCAGGAGAAAGAGGGGAAGGGGAAGGGGAAGGGGAAGAAGGGGGCGAAGGGGAAGAAGAAGGGGAAGGGGAAGGGAGGGGAGGAGGAGAAGGGTGGGGAGAAGGAGAAGCAGGAGGGGGAGCAGATGGAGGTGGATGGGGAAAAGGTCAAGGAAGGAGATGGTGGAGACGAGGCACCACAGCAGGGAGAGCAGGGAGACAAGGGGGAGCAGGGAGGGCAGGAGGAGGGTGAGGGGGTGGTGATTGCGGAGTCGGTGCCTCTGCCTGACCCCGGGCCGTACCCCCCTGGGAAGCAGAGGAAGAACCACGTGCGCTTCACACCCACCCAGGTACCGAACTCTCATCCTTTCTCTGCCTTCGCTCCCTTGCTCTATCTCACCTCACCTCGTCTCACCGCCTCTATCTCCTCTTTCCGCCGTCTCCTACCTCTTTGCAGCGCCTAGCACCTCTCCCCACCGCCTCTTTATGCCCTGTCTCTCACCTCTTCTGACCGCCTCTCACTCCTCCCCAGCACATCTCTCGCCACCCCTTGTAACCTCTCCTCACTGTGGCTTACCTCTCCGCGTGTCACCTCTCCTCACCGCTTGTCACCTTTCCCCACTGTGTCTCACCTCTCCCTACCGACTCCCACCTCTCCCCACCGCTTCCCACCAGGTGGACGCCATCATCAGCGGGGTGCAGCCGGGGTTGACCATGATAGTGGGGCCGCCTGGAACCGGCAAGACTGACACGGCTGTGCAGATCCTGCAGGTCAGTGAGTTGTCCGAGATGTAATGCGGTGCAGTGCAATACAATGCAGCACCACAATTGTGAAGCTCTGACGGATCTTCTTGTCCTGTACTACAACTTCCCTGATTAATGCGGGGGGGAAGCCCTGGAATCTCCCTCCCCCTGCTCCTTCGTCCTGTAGTTGCGAAGCTCTCACGGATCTTCTCGTCCTGTACTACAACTGACTCCTTTCCCCTGCTCCCCCCCCCCCCACCACCCCCTCCCCACCCCCCCCCCCCCCCACCCTCTCCCTGCCCGACCAGGTGCTGTACCACAACTGCCCTGAACAGCGCACGCTTGTCATCACTCACTCCAACCAGGCCCTCAACGACCTCTTTGAGAAGATCATGCAGGTGGGTGCAGTGCAGTTCAGTGCGGCACGGTGCTCTGTGGTGGTGTTATGCGAAATCTGTGAATTCAGGCCTTGGCGACATGATCAAAAGCGTCATGCAGGTGGGTAATGTGTGAGCAGGAGCTGAACTCACCCCCTTCCCATCACCCCCGGCTGCTCTCCCTCTTTCCCCATCTGTATGCAGCGGGATGTGCGGGCGCACTACATGTTGTGCCTGGGCATGGGCGCGGAGCTGAGCTCACCCTCCCTCCTCATCACCCCACTTGTTCCCCATCCCCCTCTTCACCCCCTTCTCATCTCATCTGTATGCAACGGGACCTGCTGGTGCGCTACATGCTGCGCCTGGGCATGGGCGATCAAGAGCTGGACACAAAGCATCTGAATCTCCCTTTCAATATTCCTTCTCCGCCCCAACTCTCCCGTCCATTTCTCCCTCCCCATGTGTATCCCAGCGGGATGTGCCGGCACGTTACATGCTGCGACTGGGCATGGGAGAGCAGGAGCTGGACACGGAGCAGAAGTTCAGCCGCATGGGGCGCGTCAACGACATGCTTGCTAGGAGGCTCGAGCTGCTGGCTGAGGTGGGCCTTAAAGACAGTTTGAAGTAAGGGCATAGTAAGTACAGCAGCGGGGGGGGGCATAGTACAGTTGTGCATGGGCGGGGCGAGCGAGCGGGAGGGAGCGAGTGGGTGCTGGCTGGCTGAACTGAAGCGGCTTGAACTGCAGTCTGTGGTGAGCGCTGCACTAGGGTGCTATCTGTGGTTATTTTGATAGGCTGTCGCTTGGGGCTGCCATGCGAGTGTCGTGACTGGAAATCCACCCTTTACCCCCCTCTCTCACAGGTGGAGCGACTGGCAGTGACACTTGGGCGGCCATCTGACGTGGCGTACACGTGTGAGAGTGCGGCCTACTTCTGGCTGCTGCACGTGCTCGCCAGGTAAGCTAAGAAGCCGGCGGTGATTAAATTTCCGCCGGAATAATGTTTAGCTTGTGGTGATTATTTGTGGCCTTCTCTGTTGTAACATACGCATTCTAAAAGCGTGGCCTTCTTTCGGCTGCTGCATGTGATGGGCAGTCACGTGTGATGGGCGGTCACGTGTGATGATTGGATGCGGTTGGCGAGAAGCCAGTCTTAGCTGCACTGCACGTGCTGTTGCTGCGTAGATTTTAGTTTCGGATGGCTGCTTTTGAGCACACTTTGGAACTGACATTGCAGGGGAGTCGTGATGTTTCTCCTACCATCTTGATAACGTACCTGTGTGCATGTGTGTGTGTTTGTGTGTGTGTGTGTGTGTGCATGTGTGTGTGTGTGTGTGTGTGTGTATGTGTGTGTGCATGTGCATGTGTGTGTGTGTGTGCATGTGTATGTGTGTGTGTGCATGTGCATGTGTGTGGGTGTGTGTGTGTGTGTGCATGTATGTGTGTGTGTGTGTGTGTGCATGTATGTGCGTGTGTGTGTATGTGTGTGTGTGTGTATGTGTGTTTGTGTTTGTGTTTGTGTGTGTGTGTATGTGTGTGTGTGTGTATGTGTGTGTGTATGAGTGTGTCAGGTGGGAGGCATTTGTGGCCAAGTGTGAGTCGGTTCGCGACGCTGCTCCAGCTGAGTCCACGCCTGCTGCTGAACCTGCTCCTGCTACTCCTGCTGCTCCTGATTCTGCACCTGCTGCTGCTGCTGCTGCTGCTGCTGCTGAGGAGGGCGCTAAGGATGTGCCGATGCAAGATGCCAATGATGCTGCACCTGCTGCTGCTCCTTCCAGTGCTGCCGCTGCTGCTGCTGCTGCTGCTGCTGCTGCGGGGAGCAGCGGCGGGGGCAGCAGGGCAGCGAGCATAGTGAGGGACACCTTCCCCTTCACGGAGTTCTTCCAGGAGGCACCGGGCTTTAAGATGACGGGCGCGTCGTACGCACAGGACATGCGCATGGCAGAGAGCTGCTTCGAGTTCCTCAAGGGCATGTTCCAGGTGGGGCTTTAAGAGGTTTGAGATGCGTGACATGAGATGAGACGGCGTTTTGATGTGTTTCAAAAAATGATTCTTGAGGCGCCTAAGAAATGAGCTCCTCCCCTCCCCTCTCCCTTTGCTCCCATCGTCGTCCTCCCGTACTGTCCATAGATGTGAGCTAGTTACTCCTGAGATCTGCTCTTGAGTTTTGCTCCTATTGCCCTGCTGCTCCTCGTCTCCCCCACCACTTTCTCCCAAGCAGGAGCTGGAAGAGTGCCGGGCATTCGAGCTGTTTAAGACCACAGCGGACCGCTCCAACTACCTGATGGCCCGCCAAGCCAAGGTGGTGGCCATGACGTGCACGCACGCGGCGCTCAAGCGACGGGACTTCCTGAACCTCGGGTTCCACTTTGACAACCTGCTCATGGAGGAGTCAGCTCAGATCCTCGAGATCGAAACCTTCATCCCCATGCTGCTGCAGCGCCCCGACGGCCCCTCCCGCACCGTCGCTGGCACTGGCACTGGCACTGCTGCTGCGTCTGCTGCTGGTGCTGCGGCTGCTGGTGGTTCGTCTGGTGCTGGTGGCGGCAACGGTGCCTTGTCCTACTCTCGCCTCAAGCGCTGCATCTTGATCGGAGACCACAACCAGCTGCCCCCCGTCGTAAAAAACATGGCCTTTCAGAAATACTCGCGCATGGACCAGAGCCTTTTCACCCGCTTCGTCCGCCTGGGCGTCCCTTACATAGAACTCAACGCCCAGGGCCGCGCCCGGCCCTCCATTGCCCAGCTTTACAACTGGCGATACCGCGACCTGGGGGATTTACCCGTGGTGAAGACCGGGGAGGAGTATGTGCGCGCTAACGGGGGGTTTGCGTGGGAGTATCAGCTGGTGGATGTGGGGGATTGGATGGGGAGAGGGGAGAGTGAGCCGAACCCGTGGTTCTACCAGAATTTGGGCGAGGCGGAGTATGTGGTGAGCGTGTTTCAGTACATGCGGCTGTTGGGGTATCCCGCTGAGAAGATATCAATTCTGACGACATACAACGGGCAGAAGCATTTGATTCGAGATGTCATTGAGCGGCGATGTGCCGGGAACCCACGTTTCGGCCGTCCCAGCAAGGTGAGCGTGTGGTAGGTAGCATTGCGCTCTGCTCCTTGAGATGGTAAGGCGTTTTTCGGGTCAGGAACAGGGTTTGGTTGGTAGGGCGATGCGGAGTATGTGGTGAGTGTGTTTCAGTACATGTGGCTGCTGGGGGGTATCCTGCTGAGAAGATATCCATTCTGACCACGTACAATGGACAGAAGCATCTGATCAGGGATGTGATCGAGAGGAGATGTGCGGGGAACCCCCGCTTCGGCCGCCCCAGCAAGGTGAGTGTGTGGTATTGCTGTCCTAATCTGCTGGTAACATTTTTGTTTGCTCCCTGCTCTCCCTCTCACATACCCATCCATTTTCTCACCCACTCTTACCTCTCCATCACGTTCCACCACTTTCCGCCACTCTTCACCGCTCACCACACCAGGTGACCACGGTCGATCGCTTCCAGGGCCAGCAGAACGACTACATTCTGCTCTCCCTCGTGCGCACGCGCACCGTGGGCCACCTGCGTGACGTGCGGCGCCTTGTGGTGGCCATGTCCCGCGCCCGCCTCGGCCTCTACTGCTTCTGCCGCCGCGCGCTCTTCGAGCAGTGCTACGAGCTCCAGCCCACCTTCCAGCTGCTGCTGCAGCGCCCGGATAGGTTGGGTTTGGTGTTGGAGGAAGGGAGTGCGAGGACGGGGAGGGCGGCAGGGGAGGGGAGTGAGGGGGCGTATTTGGTGCCGGGGATTGAGGAGATGGCCAGGATGGTGGAGTGGCGGCTGCAGAACGTGACTGAGCAGGTGAGGCGGAGGGGGATGGGCTGTGAATGAGTTTGGAGAGGGTTTGAAACTCGTATCTGGTGCCAGGGATTGAGGAGATGGCCAGGATGGTGGAGTGGCGGCTGCAGAACGTGATTGAGCAGGTGAGGCGGAGGGGGATGGGCTGTGAATGAGTTTGGAGAGGGTCTGAAACTCGTATCTGGTGCCGGGGATTGAGGAGATGGCCAGGATGGTGGAGTGGCGGCTGCAGAACGTGACTGAGCAGGTGAGGCGGAGGGGGATGGGCTGTGAATGAGTTTTGAGAGGGTTTGAAACTCGTATCTGGTGCCGGGGATTGAGGAGATGGCCAGGATGGTGGAGTGGCGGCTGCAGAACGTGACTGAGCAGGTGAGGCGGAGGGGGATGGGCTGTGAATGAGTTTTGAGAGGGTTTGAAACTCGTATCTGGTGCCGGGGATTGAGGAGATGGCCAGGATTGTGGAGTGGCACCTGCAGAACGTGACTGAGCAGGTGAGATGGTGGCGACGGGTGGAAACAGGATGGGAATGTGGAAGGTAGGGTAGGGTGGGAGGACGGTACGAGAGGGGAAGGTTGACTTCTCACGTGCAGTATGTGGGTTTTTTTTTTTTTTTTTTTTTTTTTTTTTTCCTGCTTAGTACTACTGAAGTTCTCTGCAACTGTATATTGTTTATTGTTTATTGAACCTGTTTCGTTTTCTCTCCCTTGCACAGGAGTACATTCTGCAGAACGTGCCAGGGGCGCAGCAGCAGGCAGCACTAGCCCAGCAGCATCAGGCGTGGATGCAGCAGGTCCAGCATCTGAAACTCGCCCAGGCACAAGCTCAGGCGCAAGCTCAGGGGCAGACCCAGGGACAGACCCAGGCCCAGGCACAGGGACAGGGACAGGCACAGGGACAGGGACATTCAACAATGCAAGTTCAAATGCAAGGGCAGCCACATACATCACCACATGTGGCCATGCAAGGGCAAATGCCTGTGCAGTCGCCAGTGCAGATGCTGCCAGTGCATGGGGTGCATGTGGGGCAGGTGCCATCTCCTGTGCTGCCAGGGCAGGCCCATGCACACATACATGCACAGGCACACATGCACATGCAGGCGCAAGCACAGATGCACATGCAGGCGCAAGCACAGGCTCATGCACATGCACATGCTCAGGGACATGCGCAAGCACAAGCACAGCTGCAGGTCCGGGAGCAGGCTCGGCAGATGGAGATGCATGCTCATATGGAAGCTCTGGCACGGCTGCAGCAGCAGCAGAGGCTGCAGCGGAAGCAGCACAAGAGCAGGCGAGGGAGGGGCGGAGGGAGAGGGAGGGGTAGGGGGCGGGGAGGGGGGCGAGGAGGGAGGACGGGAGGGGAGGGGGAGGGGAAGGGTAAGGAGGGGGTGGAAGAGGATGGGGAGAAGGGGGAGGAAGGGGGAGCGGAGGAGCGGGAGAGGGATGAGGAGGGAGAGGGTGAGGAAGGAGAGGGAGAGGAGTGGGGAGAGGGTGAGGGAATGCAAGGTGTAGAAGAGCATGTGAGGGTGAAAGAGGAGGCTGGGGAGGGAGAGCAACCAGCAGTAGCACGAGGTCCCCCCCCTGCAGCACCTGCAGGGTTGATGCCACCAATGGTGGCAGCAGCAGGAACAGCAGCAGGAACAGCAGCAGGAGCAGGAGCAGCAGCAGCAGCAGCTGTAGGTGAACCAACAGCAGGGAGAGGACCACCACCCGCAGCGCCAGCGGGACTGATGCCACCATTAACAGCACCAACAGCACCAGCAGCACAAGCAGGACAAACAGCAGCAACAGCTGTAGCACCAGCAGCAGAGCCTGCCGCAGCAGTTGCAGCAGCTCCTGAAGCGGTAACACCTGAACCGCCACTAGTAACACCAGCTGCTGTTGTGGCTCCTGCTGCTGCTGCGGTGGCTGCTGTTGCTCCTATCACTCCAGCCTCTGCTGCTGCTCCTGTGCCTGCTGCTGTGGGAGCATCAGAGAGTGTGCGTGTGAAAACGGAGCTTGTGGAGCAAGCGAGGGAGGCGGGACGAGTGCAGCAGGAGCTACTGGAAGAGGCAGGGCACGGGGCAGGGCACGGAGCAGGGCAGCAGCGAGTGGGAGTGGTGAAGGAGGAATCAACTGAACCCGGGGCAGCCACTCCCCATGGGGGTTCCTCTGATAGTGAATGATGTGTGCTGGGTGGTGGAGGGGGCAGGGCAGGGCGTGGGGAGCAGCACGTGGGTGGGAGTTGATGTGAAGGAGAAACTGACTGAACCACGTGCTGCCCCTTCCCGGGGGGGGGTCCTCTGATAGTGAATTATGTGTGGATGGGGAGGGGGTAAGATTGGGGGAAAGGTTTGGGGAAATGTTCTCATTTGGTTATGCTTGTGGACGTAAAACGAGATGAATCAGAAAATTTGTTTTTAATCAGCAGAAAAGATGATGATCAGCCAACCACTCTATAGTAGTACGATAATTTACAACTTGAGGCAGTATTTGGTACTCAACTTGGGACATACCAGTTTTCATCATTTATTAAAGCTCTACAGTCTTTCTCATCCAGAGCAAGCGAATCGAGTGCCTCTCAAGCCTGGTGTCTCGCACAAAACCCGAATTGGAGGTTTGCAATTTCGCTCAAGGTTTTCGTACCTTCAGGTTTTTCAAGCTTCGTTGTCACCCATTCTTCCCTTCATTTGGTCCTCGTAGATTAATCTGTAGCTCATTGTTCTGTACACTTTGAAATTCTCCCTTGACGAAAGATTATGGCTAGTCGGAAGAAGCCTTTATCGGAGCAGCTAGCGGAGCTGCTAACCCCCGCGCCCACCGCGGGCCACGAGGATCCTGAAGACGCGCAGGGGTTCGGCGCAGAGGCGCGCGCGATCTTCGGCGGAGACGAGTCGGCGGAGGCGGGGGAAGGATGGGGCGCGGCGGAAGCCGGGGTCGTGCGCCTGGGGGAGGCTGGCGCAGGGCGGAAGCGCGGAGAACGCGGGACCGCGGCGAAGGAGAAGGGGCTGAGTTTGCGGGGGAATCTGGTAATGGAGGGGCGGGAATATGGCGGGAATAAGAGCAGCAGATCGGCTCTATTTGATGGGTGGGCGGATGACGTGGAGGATGACGTGGCGGATGATGATGATGACGCGGAGGATGACGACGTGGAGGATGATGTGGATGAGAGAATGCAGAAGGGAGGTGATGCGGGGAGGGATGACGATCAGGAGGGGGAGGAATGGAATGAGGAGGAGGAGGGGGAGGACAGCCCAGTCGAGGATGAGGATAACGAGGATGGCACTAGCGGGGATGATTATAGCGAGGATGTCGAGGAGGAGGCGCTACAAGGGAGCGAGGAAGAGCTGGAGGGCGACGCGCTGCTGACGGTGGCGCGCGCCACGATGGACCTTGGGATGGACGCGCTCGATCGAGACTTCGAGGCCGCCCTAAAAGACGAGTTTCGACCAGCTGCTACAGTTGCCGGGCGGGATGTTAACGATAGTGACGAGGACGATGTTGACGAGGATGGAGAGCGGGTAGGTCAGCGGGGGAGCGGCGGTGACGGCGGCGAAGGTGGCGGCGCGCCGGTGGCGATAGCGAGAAGTGCATTTAAAGGGGCGGTTCGTGACGAGGATAAGGGCCGCGCGGTAGCCGCGCAACGCGCGCTGTGGGACCGCGCCCTGGAGCTCCGCATAGCGCTGCAGCGCCCGCTGCAGTCCGCGTGCCGCCTCCCCCACGCCCTCGCGCATGCCGCCTACGCGGCTGTAGCGCCGGACGTGGCAGCGGAGTTCCAGGCTGTAGCGGCCGGCACGCGGACGGCAATCCGGCAGCTGCTGACGTTGCAGGACGAGCTGTTCAGCCGGAACGCTGCAATTGACGGCGCGTTCAAAGCCGCGCGGGCGGCGCTGGCGGAAGGCGGAGGCGGAGACGGGGAAGGGTCGGGAAGACAAGAACAAGGAGGGGAAGGAGGTTTAGGGTTTAACCAGGGTTCTATTGACGATGGGAGCTTCGAGGAGGTCTGGGAGCAGATCTCAAGGGCGTACGAACGGTTCCGACCCTTCTCCCAGAGCTCCATAGACAGGTGAGGCCTTTTTTTGGTGCGGAATGTTCAGGATTTGGGATTTAATGTAAAAACCGTGTTCTGAAGCTCAGTAGGCAGGTGATAGAGAGTGGGTGGGTGCTGCAGGGGTGTAATTGTCATTGGTGGAAAGGGTTTCGTTTCAAGGGTTCAGGGGATGGAATTTCATGCTAACCCCTGAACCTTCAACTGGCAGTGCGAACTCGTGTTGGGGTTTGCAGCCGAGGCAGGCTGGCAGCAGCCGATTGACATTCATGAGACACCTTGACTGCTCAACAAGAGTGTCAAAACGAATTTTCCCTGCTTTCCCTGCTCCCATCCCTGCTTCTGGACTTTTCCCCCTCTCGCCCCCCCACCCCACCCCTACCCCCACCACCACCACCCCCCCCTCTCACTCAATGCAGGTGGCATCGGAAGACCCTGCTGACGTCAGGGGCCATGGCAGCTGGTCGCAGCAGCAGCCGACTGAGAGCGCTCAACCAGAGCGTCTCCCAGCAGGTCGCCTCTGCCCTCCGCGCCCCCGATCGCCTCATCCAACGGTCCAGATTGCCCCGCGAGGCCGTCAGTGTGATCGGAGCAAAAGCGGAAGCTCTTGCTGCTGCCGGTGGTGCTGGGAAGAAGCGGAAGGGGCCGGACGGTGTAGGTGGGGGGGACGAGGGAGTGGGAACGGTTGGGGGAGAGGAGAGTGGAATGAGGGAATTAAATGGTGTTATTCAGGAAGAGCAGGGTGAACAGAAGGAGGGGGAAGAAAAGGAGCCGGCGGAGGAAGGGGAGGAGAATGAGAGGAAGGAGGAGGAGGAGCAGGAAGGCGAGTGGGACATGGACTCATACGATGACACAGAGTTTTACCAGCAGCTCCTACGTGAATTCCTCGACTCATCCCACCTGGAAGAGCTCGGCATTGCCTCCCAGCAGGTGGTGCGGCGGCTGCGGGGCAGCAAGGGCAAGGCGGTGGACAGGAGGGCGTCCAAGGGGCGCAAGGTGCGGTACGCTCCGATGCCTGCGCTTGTTAACTTCATGGCCCCAGAGCCCGTTCACCTGCCGCCTGTAGTAGAACGGCTGTTCGGGAATCTTTTCGGAAAGAAGTAGCTTTTGCAAGTGCTTCTGCAAGTGCTCCTGAGCTCGTCCCACGTGGAGGAGCTGGGCATAGCATCCCGGCGGCTGAGGGGCAGCAGGGGCATGGCGGTGGGCAGCAAGAGCAAGGCGGTGGACAGGAGGGCATCCAAGGGCCGCAAGGTGCGGTATGCACCGATGCCGGCTCTCGTGAATTTCATGGCCCCGGGACCCGTTCAGCTGCCGCCCGTTGTGGAAAGTTTGTTTGAGAACCTCTTCGGCCAGGTGCAGGGGAAGGAGGTGGTTTTGTTGTGGGAGTGCAGTAGAGCCGATGGCGGTAGTTGATATTTTTTGTGGTTTCGGTTGAGGAAAGTTGACCACCGTGTCTGGAGTGTACCTGCGTTATACATCACCATGTTATGGGATAAAATTTTAGGAACAGCTTTTAATTCTGATTGGATTTAAATGCCCCAGCCGGCGAGCCTCGTGCCTCTGAAGCTAAAACTTATGCAGCTCTCTAGTTACGGTTACCTAAGTAATGTGGCTGCTGTAGAGTTCTGGATATCAGATTTCTTCAAGGTATATGTGGTACCGTACTATGCTATGGTGTAATTGTGAAGCAAGTGACAAGTGATAGTCAATATCATCAATGATGCTAAGTAAGAAATTTTAGAAGCATGCTTAGCATTTTTTTTCTGGTCTGACAATCATTGATGCTTTTATATTTTCAACATGGATGTCCCCTGTCGAGTCGTCCACCCACTCAGCGTCGGAACTGTTGAGCAGGAAGCACTGAAAGATTCTCCGCCTGCCAAACCCGTGAGCAGTGTGGTCTTCGATCTTTCAGTCACTGTTCCAGACATCGCGTCGATCGTAACCGTTCTCTGATCATCGACGGCCGACGAATTGTCCCGCCGTGGTCCCTGGAGTTATCTCACACGTGCCTAGCGAATGAAAGATTGCCGACATGTCCTACTTTCAGCCTTACGATTAAGGATTGCCTTAATTCATGTCACCGAAATCCACTTGGTGTCTGACAATTTGCTCCACCTTGAATTCTCACGAATCATAGGGGCGTAGCGTGATTTGGTTGCTCGCCAGCCTTCCCTCGACCTCAATCATGTCGCGTCGCGTCGCCAATCTCATCGCTTGATGTCGTCGTCAACGCGCCAACCACCCCCTGCTGCTTGCCTGAGCGTCATCCACTGTTGAACCAAGTCGTCCACCGAAATCCCTTGGGAATTGTTGGAAGCTTGCTGGAGAAATGGCTCCTGCCTGCAGTGCCGTTCCCTTACTGCAAGTGCCTGTGAGGTGCAACAATTCACTTGCTTTGCGGTTGAGTAGATTTCTCGGCTTCTCAAAGCGTTTCCTTTTCTTTATAGAACGGTGCATAAGAATATTACACAGAAGTCAATGTCATGGCACTCCAGTTGTTAGCCACGTCAGTTGCAGTTCAGTTAGGTTTCCTAGGTCTTTCAGTTTAGCAGCAGCCAACACAGAATTAGGGCTACATTACTTATCGCCGTTTACATTGTAGCGGTCTGGTGCAAGCTAGTATCCTCCACGCTCAGTTGGTAGTGTATTTGTGTATAGCAGGGGAACGAGCTAAGCAGGTGTTAATTCGCAACAACAGCTCCTGAGTGAAAAGGTTAGATTGGTTTGGCGGTAATGCTATTCCGAGTCGATGCGTTTTAGTTAGTGACTCTGGGTGCGTGCTGACGACTAGACGGACGTATGCTTCTCCTACTGCGCGTCCGACGGTAGGATTCTTTTCTCAGGAGTACTCGTTAACTACAAGAGTTGCGAAGCAACGTTGGCCAAGCATGATGAAGCCATAGTAGCCAGAGGAAAGTGATACGTCAGATGAACAGCAGGGATTGATGGCAAGCTCGGCAGGTTCTGTCAGAATGCAGGTCAGATTAAGTTGTGAGAGCACTTGGTGTTCTCGAAAGCGAGTTCGTTTATTCATCAACAGGTCTTTTTGATTCAACGTATTTTAGGATGTTATTGAAAGTAGCGTCATTCAGGCCCTAGAATTCGAGTTTTGACATTGATGGGCAGAGTTGTTCGGTTCCAAGGTTCCAGAGTATGTGGCCTGCCTGTGTACGGCACGATATAAGAAACCGCGTAGGTTACCTATTTCACTGGCGGCTCGTTCACGGCAGCAGTTTAAGTATGGGTCGTAGTCCAAGAAGGTGCCAAATTTCAAGGCTACAGCGTCCCTTCTGGTAGAGTTTCATCCAATGGTCATGGACGGTCATGGAGGCACCGTGACGTCGACCTCGTCCCAGTGGAGCGGATCGGACGGCTCTGATCTGTCCCCGAGGGACGTTAGATGCGCGCGAGGCCCGAGACGGCGAGGATGGCGGAGATTGACGGCCATTTTTATCGGGACCCGGCATGAGGAGGAGGAGGTTGAGCGGGGAGTTGAGGGGAGCTCGGGGAGAGAACGCGGGGAGGAGCACGAGGGAAGGGGGAACGAGGAGGGCGGTTTCGAAGCGCAGAACCGTGGAGTTGGAGAATTTCCTTTGGACGAGCGTGATTATAGCGGTGCTGATTCCGCGGCTCTGAATGATTCGCACAGTAGAGAGTCACAAGGGTACGTTACGATGTGTGTATTTACTGCATATTCAGCAAATTCTCTGCGGTCTTCACATCCCACCTACAGGCATGTGCCATCCAAGTAAACCCTCGAAGTTAACACTGTGTCAGGTAGAATAACAAGTGGTCCAGAGCGGTGGTAGAGAGCGTAGATGAATGATTAGGGACCAAGAAGGGCGTTCAGAAGCCCAGGTTCAGGTGTAATCGAGCGTAATTAGACGCGCATCTTAGTCTACCAATATTTTTTTCTTTGCTCTCCACGCCTGATTCGCTTTAAAACCCACATCCCCATCCCACTGCCTCGCACAGGTTCTGGCACTCGGCACATAGCCATCCACATGGCGCGTCCCCATTGGATCAGGTCGTGGTGGACACGTCAGCAGCACCCTCCGTGTCATTTAGCGACGCACTCATGAAAGAAGTCCTTCCCAGAAGCTTCCCGGATGGGAGCGACGGGGAGGGGGAGCTGTGGAGGAAAGGGGATGGCCTGAGAAAGGGTTTTAGAAGGGTGGGTCGGCGGCTTATTCGGGCTGTGAAGAAACGACCTGTGCTCATGAGACGGCTGGCAGCTGTGGTAAGCAGAATTGGACTTGGTCGTCACATCACGTCACATCATCACATCACGTCACATCACGTCACATCATCAAATCACGTCACATCACGTCACATCATCACATCACGTCACATCATCACATCACGTCACATCACGTCACATCATCACATCACGTCACATCACGTCACATCACGTCACATCATCACATCACGTCACATCATCACATCACGTCACATCATCACATCACGTCACATCACGTCACATCATCACATCACGTCACATCATCACATCACTGTGGCGACCGGAGCCCTTGCTCGTCCTTTCCTTTTCCCCCATCTCTTCTTTCTAGCATCCCGTTTCTCACTCCCTTTCAGCCAACGCCCCTCTAATCCCAAACCCCTCGAACCCCCCCCCTTCCCCTTACCCCACATCCATCGGGTCTAGACTAGCCCATCCTTCACCTATTCCATTCGTCCTCCCTCCCATCTCCTCCGCCTGTAGCTGACATCTTGCCTCTTCCTCCCATGGCCGCGTGTGTGCTCCTCACAGACTTCCCTTCCCTTGCATCACTCTCCAGCCGCTTCGAAAAGTCATCCCATCCTTCGCTATCCAACCGCCTCCGCTGTTTGCTCACGTGCTCCCCTCCCCCAACCCCCCCTTTCCCCGCTTCCCTCCCTCCCCGCCTTCCTCCCCCGTAGCCTTCTTCTCCACCAGATATTCATATAAATCCTCGTTGCAGCCTGCATGTTCCTCACATGGTTGCTCATGCGCTCCTCCCCGCCTTCCCTCGCTCTGCTCGCATGCTTCCCCATGCCCCCCTTTCCCCCTTTCTACCCCTTTTTTTCCGCCTTCCCCTGCACCAGATAATCATATACATCCTCGTTGCAGCCTGCATGCTCCTCACGTGGTCGCTCATGCGCTCCTATGCCACGTCAGCCCTCACCCACGTGGGCCGCAGCACACGGGCGCAACTGGTGCAGGGCGCATCTGCAGGGATGGGCGCAGCCCTTGCCACTGCACCCTCCTCCTCTGATGCCCGGCCAGCACCTACACTTGAAGGAACCTTCGTCTCCTTCTCAGGAACCTTCCCTGGAGAAGACTCATCGGGACACTTGCACACACACATGCTCCTCGCTAGAATCACCAATTACACTCTTCTCTACACTGTCACTCCTTCACAACCCACCGACCCCAGCCTATCCAACGCTGCCACGTCAGCCAGCCATGTCGCATCCGCTGCAGCACAGTACCTCGCTTCTGCAGTCCCCCCCTCCCAGCTCCTCTCCGCCTGCTTCTTCTCCCCTGACCGTGTCCCCTTGGGGAACTCCATAAACCCTAATCACCTCGGGAACTCCGTGAGCCTGGGAAGCCTCCTCGGGGGTACTGGGGGCGGCCAGACTACTCTAGAAACTTCCGCCCAGGCCACCACTGGGGGTACCGAACAGCTGTACTACGTGGACGCATGCCCTGTCAGTGTCAACGCCTCTGCCTCTAGCCTACAGGGGCCAGTGCAGCAGCAGCAGCAGCAACAGGGTGATACGCTGGTGGTGATTTCCATAGTGCCGTCGGCTCTTATCCTTGCGCCCTTGGATTCCGGCAGTGACACTGTCAGGGCGCTCTGCATCGCCCTGCCACTGGTCATCCTCGTTATAGGCTTGCTGCTCGTCTGCATGAACGGATCCACGGACCTGGCTCGAACCGGGCAGACGCTGCGGCAGGAGCTGGTGCGGCAGCTGGTGGAGAAGCACAGGGTGGAGCAGCGCAGCAACCACAAGAGCCAGTTCCTCGCCAACATGAGGTGAACCCACGATCTCTGCTTCTTCTGATGCGCCAGAGGTTCTTAGAGTGTTTTTGAGGCGCGTCACAAGCTTGTTCCACGGCTGGTTGAGAGAAGCGCAGGGTGGAGCAACGCAGCAACCACCTTTGACTTACTTCCTCCTCGTCTCCTCCCCTCCTTCCTCTTCCCAGTCACGAGCTGCGCACGCCACTGGCGGGCATCATCGGGCTGTTAGACCTGTTGGCGTGCGACGCGCTCACCCCGGAGCAGGAGGCCATGGTGCTGCAGATCAAGTGCTCTCCTCCTCTACTCCTCCCCCCCTCCCCTCCTCCCCCTCTCCCCTCCTCCCCTCCTCCCCTCTTCCCCTCCTCCATACAGTCACGAGCTGCGCACGCCACTGGCGGGCATCATCGGGCTGTTAGACCTGCTGGCGTGCGACTCACTCTCCCCCGAGCAGGAGGCCATGGTGCTGCAGATCAAGCGCTGCGCCTCAGGACTCCTCGCGCTCATCAACAACGTCCTTGATATTTCCAAGGTCAGAGGTCTGCCCTGCCCTTCCCTGCCCTGTGCCTCAGGCCCGCCCTGGGCCCTGCCCTGTTTGCTCTTGAGGCGAGTTCGAGGCGCCTCAAAAAGCGCTGTGCCTCGGGCCTGCTAGACCTCATCAACAACGTCCTTGACATCTCCAAGGTCTGAGCCCTGTTGTGTCTGGTCTGGTCTGGCCTTAGCATACCCTACCGCCCTTCAGTATAATCACAGAGATGGAGACGCTGCTCGACGCGTTTGCAGTGCACTGCATATACTCATTCCCATGCACCCCTCACTCCCCCGTTTTTGAGTCGACTCAAAAATATACTCATTCCCATGCACCCCTCACTCCCCCGTTTTTGAGTTGACTCAAAAATATACTCATTCCCATGCACCCCTCACTCCCTTTCCACCCCCCCTGCATGTGGAAGTGGGCGCGATAGAACTCACCATGGCGCCCCTCAGCATAGCAACGGAGGTGGCGACACTGCTGGACATGTTTGCAGTGCACTGCATCTAATCATCCATTCCCATGCACCCCTCCCTCGCTCTCCCCCTCCCCCTGCAGGTGGAGGTGGGCGCGCTAGAGCTCACATTAGCGCCCTTCAGTATAATCACGGAGATGGAGACACTATTGGACATGTTTGCAGTGCACTGCATCGGCAGCGGGGTTGACCTCTCTATGGATCTACTAGACGACCTCCCGGTAATGGTGCTGGGGAGGTGCTCTGCAACCTGCTTTCCAGCAGAATCATGCCAGTCGCTCCCTCCCTGCTCGTTCCCTTCCATTTCTTTTCAGGTGGAGGTGGGGGCGTTGGAGCTCACATTAGCGCCCTTCAGTATAGTCACGGAGATGGAGACATTACTGGACATGTTTGCAGTGCACTGCATCGGCAGCGGGGTGGACCTCTCAATGGATCTAGCAGATGACCTCCCAGACATGGTGCTGGGGGATGCAATGCGGTTCCGCCAGGTTCTCAGCAACCTGCTGTCCAATAGCGTGAAGTTCACGGAGCAGGGGTATATTCACGTGCGCGCGTGGGTCGTGCACACTCCCAACACGTTTGCCATGGTGAGTGAATTGCACCCCTTATGATGCCTTTCTTATGCTTGAGTTTGTTCAATCTGCCCTGCCCCTCCTCTTCCAACCCCTTCCTCTCTCACCGAACCAATGCTTTCCTTCCCTCCCCTCCTCCCTTGCTTGGTATACCCCCTTCCAGTCGCGAACAGCCCTGTAGAGCGGTGCAGACATATACTCCCTGCAAATGAGCACTTTCCGCGCCCTCCTCCCCCACAAGCTGCTGCTTTGAGACGACTCAAATTTCACCAATGCTCTCTCTCCCTCTCTCCCTCTCCTCCGCCCCACTGGTTTTCCCGCCCCCTTCCCAGTCGCGAACAGCTGTGGAGAGCGGTGCAGACATCTACTCCGTGCGGATGAGCGCTCTCAGCGCCCTCCTTTTGAGTTGAATCAAAATTCCCCTTTTCTCCCTCCGTTGCCTTTCCCTCTCCTTTCCCAGTCGCGAACAGCTGTGGAGAGCGGTGCAGACATCTACTCCGTGCGGATGAGCGCTCTCAGCGCCCTTCTCCCCCACAAGCAGCACCCACCTGCTGCCGCGCCTGCTCCCTCTGCTCTCGCTTCTGTTGCTTCTGCTGGCAGTGCTGTCGGCAGTGCTGCTGGTAGTGTTGTTGGGAATTCTGCTTCTGCTGCTGGTACTGCTAGTGCTGCTGCTGGGGCCGCTCGTTGCCACAGCAGGTACAGCTTACAGGCAACAAGGGAAAACGCATTGGTAGGGAAAGCGGAGGAGCAGGAGGAGCGCGAAGAGGATGGGGTTGAGGATGGGGAGGAGGAGGAGGTGGAGGAGGAGGAGGAGGAGGATGAAGAGAGCCTGAGGGGCCACAGGGGAAACCCGCACGGCTGTGCTCCTATGATGGCAGCGGCAGGGTGCCTACCAGTAGGGGCAGTAACAGGAGGCTGGGAACGAGCAGAACTAGGGGGAGGAGCAGGCGGAGGTGCATTCACAGGAGCACGGGTAGGGAGGAGCGGGGGAGCGAGAGGGAGGGGCGAGGGAGTGCGAGGAGCCTTGGCCTGCACAGGTGGGTTTCCCTGTGCAGGCGGGCTGTCCTCCTCACCCTCATTCAACCGCTCTTCTAGTCTCAGGGAGCAGAGCAGCCCACTGTTAGGAACCCGGGAGGGGGGAGTGAGGACTTACAGTACCCGTAGAGCCTCAGGAGAGGTCATGAGAGTGCTGTGCGTGGGAGGGGTTGCGGATACCGCAGCTGAATCGGACACAGAGGGGAGTGAGCTTGTGGATATAGTGATTGAGGAGGGGGGGAGGTTGGGGTGGGGCGAAGGAGTGGGGAGGGAGGCTGGAGGCCAAACAGATGGGATGGCCTGTAGTGGGATGGGTCCAGGGTCAGCTGGGGAAGGTGTAGCTGAGGATGCTGCAGAGGAAGGGGAGGGTGTACCTGGTGACAATCCACCTGAGGAGCGCCCACCTGGGGAGCGCCCACCTACGGGTGAGGAGGACCCACCTGAGGAGGTTCCACCTGGGGGAGAGGAGGTTCCACCTGGGGAAGGCCCAGCAGTCGAGCCTGCCACAGACGACCGAGTGCTGATAATCTTTGAGGTGGATGACACGGGGTGTGGTATACCACCGGAGAAGCGCGAGGCGGTGTTTGAGAGCTTCTCGCAGGTGGACGAGTCGGCCTCGCGCGTGCATGCGGGGTCGGGGCTGGGGCTGAACATAGTGAAGGGGCTGGTGGAGCTCATGGGCGGCCATGTGGCAGTTGCTGATAAGGAAGGTCCTGGTGCCCTCATCCGCTTCTCCCTCATGCTGCCCCGTGTGCCCCCTCCTGCTCCTCGTTCTGCTGCTGCTGTTTCTGCTGCTGACGGTGGCGGCGGTGCTCGCATGGACGACCCAGACGTATCGGTGTCTTTCATTCCAAGGTGGGCGGGCGCACAGTCAGTATTTCAGGGCTGCTGAATCTGGCCTGGTACAGCTGCTCCTTGCACAAGTCACTGAAAGGATGATATAGGCTCGGAAGTCTCTCAGAGAAGAGAACCATGTAACCACTCCTTGATGCTGCAGGGTGTTTTCTCAAAACATTGAAGAGAATTCTCAAAAACACCCTGGAGAACCATGTAACCACTCCTTGCATTGCCCCCATCCCCTCATCCACCCATCCACCCATTGTCCCATCGTCCCATCCACCAGGTTTGGTGAAGGCCCGTCGGATAACCCATGGGGGGAGCTGGCTCCCTCCCCTCCCCAACCAGCCCCTCCTGCTCTCAACCACAGCGAGGTAAGCTCGTCCCCACCGCCGCTTTCCTGGGTCGACTTTTGAGGCGCCTCAGAAGTTCCCACCACTGACTTTTGAGGCGCCTCAAAGTTTTTCTGCTTGGATAATCCACTAAGCGACCTGGCTGGTCGATCTCCCTGCTCTCCTCTCCCACCCCTCCCCGCTCCTGCCCTGCAATGCCACAGCAATCGCACCTCCTGTTCCCCCCTCCCGCACCGCTCCCAACCCGAACCCCTTTTCCCCCTCTCTTCTCCCCTTCAATCACTTGCAGGTTCAGGTGGTGCTGGCGATGGAGGGGTGTCCAGGCAGGGCCACAGCAGTCACACCTCCTGTTTTCCCCCCCTTCCCACACCTTTCCCAACCCAACCCCCCTTCCCCCCTCTCCCCCCCGTCCTTCACGTTCAGGTTCAGATGGTGCTGGCAATGGAGGAGTGTCCAGGCAGGGCCACAGCCACCAAGTGGCTGGAGGGCAAGAGAATTGCAGTGAGGGAAGTGGGTGGGAGCATGCTGCAGACTATGCCGTTAGCTCCTCCCTTTTCTCCCACCTCCCCACCTCTTCCACCAATTCCTCCCTCCTTTTCGTCACGTGTGTGCAAGTTCAGGTGGTGCTGGCGATGGAGTGTCCTGGCAGGGCCGCAGCAATCGCACCTCCTGTTCCCCAGGCCCCCCACAACCCCCCTCACTCCCCCCTTCTTCCCCCCTTCCATCACGTTCAGGTTCAGATGGTGCTGGCAATGGAGGAGTGTCCAGGCAGGGCCACAGCCACCAAATGGCTGGAGGGCAAGAGAATTGCAGTGAGGGAAGTGGGGGCATGGGAGACCATCAAAACCGCACTGGACCACGCCATTCACACCTCCCTGCTGCGCCGCCGAACCGCTGCCCTCACTGCTGCTGCCGCCACCATCGGCCACGGGAAAGGTGCAAGGGGAGACAGAGGGATTCAGAGCGGTGCAGAGGGGTGTGGAGAGGCAGGGAATGGTTCTCAGAGAAGGGGCGGGGCGTTTGTGTCGTCTGAGGCGCGGAGGGGGTCGTTCACTGCGCCAATAGTGCTTGCAGGGCGTGTGGGGCCCTCCCTGGGTCCTACTGCTGCTGCTGCTACTGCTGCCGCCGCTGCTGCTGATAGAGGCAACACTGTAGACGCTTCTTCTGCTGCTGCTAGTGTGGGGAGGCACGAGGGAGGGCGGGAGGGAGAGAGGGGAGGAAGCAGGCGGTGGCTGCCATCCCGTCTGGCCCCCTTCGACTCGGCTCAAAGGCCTTCCCAGGGGTTGCTTGCAAAGATGGAGCTCTCATCGATGCTGCCGTCTTCTCTCGCTGCTCTGGCTGGCCTTGGGCACTCGTCCCACCACACGTTCTCCTCCCACCACATTCAGCCAGGTCAAACAAGTCAATCAAGTCAACAGCAGAGAGCAGCAGCTCAAGAGGCCCCAGCAGTTCTCACCCACAGAGCGAACACCTGGGAAGGGGACATGGAGAGGGAGGGCCGGGATGGGGAGAAGGGGAAGGACCGGAAGAGTGTTGGGGAGGAGGAAGCAGAGGGGGAGAGGGAGAAAGAGGGGGAGAGAGAGGAGGCGGAGTGGGGAGAGGAGAGGGACACAGCCACAGCAGCCACAGACAAACAAGCAGATGCAGATGCAGATGCAGACGCAGACGCAGACACAGACGCGGACAAAGATGGAATCAAGCTTGCCGACCGCAGCTACCCTATTCTGGCAATCATCGACATCATGCTGCTTCCAGGAAGCCGCGGGCTTTGCAACGCGTTGATAGACCCAGCAGAGCAGGACCCGTTAGCAGTGGGGGCGAGTGCTGCCAGTCACCTGCCCCGCTTTGACGTGCACGGGGAAGGGGGTCTCAGTAGCCCTGCTGCTCGCCCTTTCATGGTCCCGCCTGAGCTGGAGAGGCTGTGTGCTGATCTGAACGCCATCCGCACGCAGACACCGCAGGTGGGTAACGGGTTGGCTGTGTCCCTTTCTGCCTGGAGCTGAGGTGGCTTTTGAATCGAGGGAAGACCAGAATCCGCCTGTGCTGCTGCAACCCTCAACGTTGTGCCAGCTGTAATTTGCCCTCTTCTCCCTTTTTCCCAGATGGCAGACTTACTCGTTGTGGCGTGGCTAGTCCCTCCAGGGGTGGACCCTCGCCTGTGTCGCTTCCTACACCAGCACCACCACTCGCTCATCACCACACGCTCATCACCACTCGCTCATCACCACTCGCTCATCACCACTCGCTCATCACCACTCGCTCATCACCACGCACCCCTTGCACGCCTCGCGCCTCACACACATCCCTGGTGCCCCTTATGCCCCTTGTGCCCCTGTTTCACCTTGTACTGTAACCCAACTCCCCCTTCTCCCCAGATGGCTGAGTCCCTTGTCGTGGCGTGGCTAGTCCCTCCAGGGGTGGACCCTCGCCTGTGTCGCTTCCTACACCAGCAGCACCACTCGCTCAGCACCACCCGCCCCCTGCATGCCTCGCGCCTCACACACATCCAAGAGCCCCTGGTGCCCCGCTTGCCCCTTTTGCCCCTTACGTGCCGTTTGAACCTCAACCCCCCTCACAGATGGCAGAGTCTCTTGTCGTGGCATGGCTAGTCCCTCCTGGCGTGGACCCTCGCCTGCGCCGCTACCTACACCAGCAGCACCACTCGCTCGTCACCACACGCCCCCTGCACGCCTCGCGCCTCACCCACATCCTCTCCTGCTTCGCCCACGCCCTCAACGGAGAGCCCATGGGCGGGGGCTCGTCTCGAAACTCGTTTGCCATGCAGGCCCCACCCGCTGCGGAGGTGCCTGCTGCATCGGCTGCTGCAGCATCTCCCGAGATGATTCACCAGCACCACCACCAGCAGGAGCAGCAGCAGCAGCAGCAGTCACACTCCCCTGGCCATATCGCCAATCACACATCTCTGCTCACATCCATATCCCCAGTTGGCCTTCCTCAGACTGCTGCTGCTGCCGTGGCTGCAACCTCAGGCTCCAAGGGGCCTGAAGAGTTTGCTACAGTCCCTGTAGCAGCGGTAGCAGGCGTGGAGGGAGAAGGAGTGGGAGATGTGGGAGTAGCAGGAGTACCAGAAGGAGCAGGGGGAGTGGGAGGAACAGGAGGAGTGGATGAAGCTGTAGGTTTGGGAAGAACAGGAGGAGCAGAGTCAGGAGCAGGAGGAGCAACAGGAGCAGGAAGCCTCGCAGAGGCATGTGGTGGTGGTGGTAGTGCTACTGCTAGTATTGCGGCTGCTGGTGTGGGTTCACGCGCTTTCTGGGGTGGGTTTGGCAGCTTCAGCGATGGCGCTATGGGTGCTGCTGCTGCAGGAAGTGCCCTTCCGGCTGATGAAGAGCATGAGTTTCAATCCTATGACCTTACTGCACCAGAAAACGCCTTCCCCACGCTTCTGCCCGTCCCTGAAATGCCTGGCCCAGAAATGCATGCCCTAGCAGTGCCTGCACCAGCAGTGCCCGCCCTAGCAGTGCCTGTGGCAGAGTCTTTGTCCCTTTCTACACCCACAGCGTCCGCTGCTGTGGACGTCCCTCCGTCGCTCAACTCTGTGTGGGAGAGCATCACACGCAGCACCAGGCTCCAATCTGTTGCTGCTGCCGCCGCTGGTGCTGCAGCTGTTGCCACTGCTGCCACTACTGCTGCTACTACTGTTGATGCTGGTGGCACAGTGGGAAAATCAGTAGCAGCGGGGGCAGAAGCAAGAGCAGCAGGTGTGGGGGGTGAGGAGATAATGGAGGAGGAAGAGGATGGGGAAGAGGAGGAGGGTGTGGAGAGGGAGGAGCGGGTGGAGGGAGGGGGAGGGAGGCGGCGCCTCTCTTTCAACGCTTGGCGTGTGCCTGCCTCGGTCAGTTTCGAGTCGACTCAGAGGCTGCCTGCGTCGGCCGTGCCCCCTGCTGGTAGTGCTGAGACACAGCCGCTGACAACTGCGCTTACAGCTCAGCACCCCTCTGCATCTTCTCCCACCGTTCACCACCTCTCTGCATCTCCGCACTTACATGTGCACTTCTTGCAGCACCGTTCCCTCTCAGACCAGTATGCTCGCCCCACAAATACCACCAGTCTTGCCAACCCCCACCAGCCCCGCTCAAGCCTATCCGACGGTCTAGAACGGCTTAGAATGATCAACGTGAATCTCAGCCATCCCTCCTCCTCCCTGGCCCACCGCCCTTCAGCTGCTGCTGCTGCTTCAGCGTCGCTCACTTCTCCCTCTGCGCTTCCGCATTTTACCACTCTAGTCAGCCCGGGCCAGGGAGGCAGCCTCGGGCGAGGCTCGGCACAGATCCGGAAGCTGAGCAGCAGCTTCGGCGGTAGGGCGCGCTTTGCTGCGGGTGCTCCTGGTGCTTCTGCGGCAGGTGCGGGGAACCTGAATGGAATAGGGCTGGGCTGGCCGGGTCTAGCCAGCCGGCCTCAGTTTGCTTCTCTCTCCGGTGCGTCCCGGCTGGGTCTTATCCGGTCCATGTCAGCCGTACAGAGCTATGCAGCGGCCTCCTCCCTCTCTGTTCTCTGCCAACCCACCATGCTCTCTGGAATAGGCTATGACCACCAGCCTAGTGTGCTGGCCGGTATGGGTGGTATGGGGTATGATCAGTCCAGTGTGCTGTCTGGATTCGGGCCTAGTAGCTTGAGCCACGAAACCATCTTGGAAGCTCCGCACATGTCGACGCAAATGTCGCCGCGTGGTTCACCTGGGATGTCACCTGGCATGTCACCTGGGGTGTCACCTGGCGTTTCACCTGGCGTGCTGTCTGGAATGCTGTTTGCGATCGGGTCTGAGCCGATACCAGAAGCGTATAAGGTGTCACCTGGGCGTGGGAATGTTCCTAGAAAGCTCCCTGGCGGAGGTAGTGGTAGGTACGACCTTCGGGGGAGCGGGAGGAGCAGCAGTGGCAGCCCAAGTCTTGCTGGTGGTAGCAGAAAGTACGACCTGCAGGGAGGAGGGGGGAGCAGGAGTGGGAGTCTCCCTGGTGGTGGTAGTAAGTATGACTTGCGTGGAGGAGGGGGGAGTAGCAGTGGGAGGAGAAGGACCATGGGACTGCATGTGCGGAGGGGAAGCGCTGGTAGTGCCAGTGGATTAGGAATGCATGAGAGCAGCATGGGCATGGGCATGGGCATGGGCATGGGCATGGGCATGGGCATGGGGATGGGGCTGGGTGGTTCCACTGGTAATCTGCATGCTCCTTCGCCTTACTCTACTAGTGCCCACGCCATGTCACCTGCCCATGCCTCGTCACCTGCCCATGCCACGTCACCTGCTCATGCCACGTCACCTGCCCTAGCCATATCACCAACCCAAGCCCCGTCGCCTCACTCCCAGCCAGTGGCTTACCACAGGAGAGGGGCAGAGAACACAGAGTCAACATTCTCACAGCCACCAGCATTCCTCAAAGGCAGCACCGTACTCTACTCCACCAGCAACCATCCCACCCACTCCAACCACTCCTCCTTCTCCTCCCAGCAAGCAGCAGCAAGCTCTCTCAGGCCGGGACTAGCAGCGGAAAGCTCAGCAGCAGCAGCAGCAGCTCCACCCGCTTTTGTGTCCTCGCCTCACTCGCACGCAGCAGGCTACCTGCGAGGCTTTCACAGAATGGCCCGTACCAATTCCAGCTCCAAATCCGCTCTTCTAGACGCATCCAAAGGCATGTCTCACACCAGCTCTGTTTCTCTTGACGCTCCCAGCAAAGGCACGGCCCGCACCAGCTCCAACGCCCCTGATGCACCCGAAAGCATGGCTCGCACCACCTCTGCTTCTCTCGATGCGTCCAACAAAGGGATGCCCAATGTTGGCCTGATTGCCAGGAGCATGCCTCGCACAAGCTCAGCCCCTCTAGACGCCCCTCGTGTGGTTCCCATGCCCAGAAGGTCGCTCCAGCACCATTCAGCCAGGTACTCTGTGGCTGGGGCGAATGGAACGAGTGGAATGGTTGCTCTTGACGCGCCTCAGAAACACCATTCTGCCAGGTACGCTGCTAGTGAGGTGACTGGTGGGGCGTCTGCCCTTGACGAGCCTCAGAAATACCCTTCTGCCAGGTACACTGCTAGTGAGGCATCTGTGCTTGAGGCGCCTCACAAACACCACTCTGCTAGATACTGTGGTAGTGGGGCGAGTGGGGTGGATGGGACAAGTGGGGCGTCTGTTTTTCTTGAGGCGCCTCACAACCACCACTCTGCCAGGTACACCACTCTGCCACTCTGTTTTTCTGGCCTTGAGGCAGAACCAGTTGTACGAACGAGTATGCAGCCAGGCATGCAGTCAAGAGAAGTGAAGGAAGGAGGTGGAGAAGCAGAGGGCGCATTAGCAGCTGGGGGAGTGGTGGAAGCAGAGGGGACAGGAGGAGCTGCTTGTGCTGCTCACATTGCTGCTGGCACTGCCGCTGGCATTGCTGCTAGCGTGGAAGCAGGCCGGTCAAGAGTGCCCGCTGCGTCAGAGACAACCCAGCAGGATGGGCACGGCACGGGAGGGAAAATTCCTAGGACAGGATCAGCGTTGGAGTTTGGGCTTCTGAGGGGGCTGTCTGTACAAGTGCCTGAAGGTTCTGGGGGACCAGAGTTGAATGGTGGTTCTGAAGGGAGAGGGTATGTGGGGAGAGAGTTGCTTGATTTCTCTCAAGGGAGAGACTCGCCCAGTGGCTCTGAGGAAGGAAACTTGCTCGGAGGGTCTGAGAGGAGAGACTTTGTAGCGGTTCTTAGTGAACCTAGATTGAGTTCAGATGAGTGGAGGGAGGTTGATGCTGACCTGACGAAGCACCTGGAGCTGCCAGCTGGCCATAGAGTGCAGCAGACGCAGCAGCAAAAGGAGGGGGAGCAGAAGAAGAGGGAGCTACAAGCGCAGCAACAGCAGCAGCAAGAGCAGCAGCAAGAGCAGCAGCAGGTGCCACAATCACCAACCACCCATCAGCTCCCTTGGCAGCACTCTTCATCTCTCCTGCGCACCACATCCGCTACACCCAACACCCTGCAGCACCACTCGTCACACCTCTCCATCGAATCAACTTCCCACGCCCAGAATCAACCTGAGCCGTTCCCCTCTCTCTCCTACACCGTCCCCCAACGCCCTTCCACGAGCCCTTGCTGCAGTGACAACCCAAGGGGGTTTTCTAGGCGAGGAATGGGAGGGAGCGGGGTGGAGAGGATTGGTGCAAGAACGGACAGTGGGGAGAAGGGTGAGTGGGGAGGTGACACAGAAGCTTTTGAGTCGACTCAAAAGGGTGAGTGGGGAGGTGACACAGAAGCTCAACCGGATACAGCAACTGCCACAGTTGGAGCAGCAACAGGGGGAGCAGCAGGAGGAGGAGGAGCAGCAGGTACAGCAGCAGCAGCAGTAGGTGCAGCAGCAGCGCGAATGTCAGCTTTTAGCGGCCATGGTAGCCAGCCAAACACCCCTAGTCCGCTAGCAGGAGCGCTGTTGCCGTTTGGCTCTATTGCAGAGGTGTTGAGCTCGGTGTGGAGTGGTAGTGAGAGGAGGAGTGTCGCGGGAGGGGCAGAGGGAGTGGGAGGGAGAGGAGGGGAGGGCGGAGGAGAGAGAGAAAGGGAGGGTGGGGGAGAGGGATGCGGGGAGAGAGGGGGAGAAAGAGGGGGGGACGGAAGGGGAGAGGGACGTGGGGAGGGTCAGCCTCGCCCGACTAGAACACAGTCCAAGGCTCGCAGCCCAACAAACTCTCTCAATCACTCCCTCTCTCACTCCCTCTCTCACTCCCTCTCTCACTCCCTCACTCACTCCCTCACTCACTCCCTCACGAACCGCCTCTCTGGCCTATCAGGCCTCTTCCGCAGCAACTCCTCATCAGACTACGAGGCAACGGTAGCAGCAGCAACAGCAACAGCAACAGCAACAGCAGCACCAACAGGAACGGCCAGAATTTCCAAATTCGGTGACAGCAGCAGCAGCAATGGCAGGCGAGCCATCACCCCTGGAAGGAGTTCAAGAGAGGAAAGCAGGCAGTCGACTCACAAGTCGCCGCAGCATTCACGAGAGGGAAGCGTGGGATCGAATCACCAGTCCCCGGCGGTCACACCAGGAAGGAGGTCGCGGGAAGGGAGTCGGCAGAAGCAGCGGCGGGCTCAAAGATTGTCTGGTCCATTCGCTTCCACAGCTGCCTCTGCTTCTGCTTCTGCTTCTGCTTCTGCTTCGGGATCTGCTTCGGGACTCACTCCTCCCACGCCTGCCCCGTCCTCCTCCTCCCTCCCTGGCAGCGTGGGCCCGTCCACCCCCACCACCCCTCCCACAGCAGCTCGGCCAAGCTTTGATGCTGACGCCCCTGCCTGGCGAGCGCGGCCCAGCTTTGAAGTGCCGCAGAGCAAGGCGAGGCGAGGCATGGCAGGGGCCCACACCCCTGGGAGAGACACCACTGGTAGACCCACAGCAGCAGGAGCAGCAGCAGGAGGAGCCGCAGCAGCAGCAGGGGGAGCAGCAGGAGGAGCAGGAGGAGGAGCGGCAGGGGGAGGGGCGATGCCGACAGGCCAGCCGCTGGCAGGGCTGCATATCCTGGTGGTGGAGGACACAGCAGTGCTGCAGAAGCTGGCAGCGTCCATGCTTAGGAAAATGGGAGCCCATGTGGCTGTGGCTTCGGATGGGCAGCAGGCTGTTGCTGCTGTGCTGAGCTCGTGGGGGGATGACGATGAGACTTCTGGTGCTGCTGCTGCTGCTGTTGCGGCTTGTGGTGGTTCTGGTGGTGCTGGTGGTGTGGGTGATGCTGGTGGTGGCGGTGGTAGTGGTGCTGGTAATGCTAGCATTAGTGGCAGTGGCAGCAGGAGGAGGAAGAGTTTCAGCATGTCGAGAGAAGCGATTCTGGCCGGCTCATCCGCAGCAACAGCAGCAGAATCAACTGTAGCAGCAGCAGCTGCACCACACAGCACCGCAGGGACAACCCATACAGGCAGTGCGGGAAACGCAGGCAAAGCAAGCAGCCCCCGCACCCCTACCAGCACTGTCCAGTCTCTCTTTTCCTCTGCTGCCACTGCCCTTCACTCTGCCACTGCCTCTCCCTCTGTCGCTGTTGTTCATTCTGCCTCACTCTCGCCCACCGCAGGTCCTTTTCGCTGGAAGCCTCGCCGGGGCAGCAGTGGCTCTGTCTCCTTCCTCCTCTCTGCCCTCCCCTCCGCCTCCCCCCTCTCTTCCAGCCCTCTGGCCTCATCTCTCTCGTCAAGCCCTCCCGTGGGAACAGCATTGAGAGGGGGAGGAGGGGGAGCAGCTGCAGCGGCAGCAGCTGAAGAAGCTGAAGCAGGAGGCGGGGGAGGAGGTGGTTTTGGGGAAGGGTGGGAGGCAGCAGGTTGTGCAGCAGGGTCGGAGCTCTGAGGCCATTGAGTCACAGCTCGCAGAGAGGGGAGAGGAGAGACCCAGGTCGTCCTTTTCCAACCCGTTTGACCCAGCAGGGACAGCTGTAGCAGCATCGGCTGTTGCAGCGTCAGTTGTAGCAGCGTCATCTGCAGCAGCGAATTGTGGCAGTGATGTGGTGGCTACAGCTGGGGTGGATGGGTGCAAGGGCAGTGGGATGGGTGGAGTAGGGGATGCAGCAGCAGCAGCAGCAGCGGATCCCTTCGACATTGTGCTCATGGACTGCCAGGTACTTGGCGTTTTCCTAGTGCTCGTCATCGCACCTCATCACACCGATTCAGCACACGCATCAAGATGCCTCTCCCTTTGCCTGTCCGCCCATGCAGATGCCAGTGATGGATGGGTATACGGCCACGAGGACCATTCGTGCCGCAGAGAGGGGCACGGGGCGCCACACTGTCATCTGTGCACTCACTGCTCATGCACTCGCCAGGTGAGGGAATGGCAGTTGCTCTGCAAAATCCTCTGCACCACTTCGCACTGCTTTGCATTGCACACTGTCATCTGTACGCTCACTGCTCATGCACTCGCCGGGTGGGGGAGGGAGTTCCATGTATCATCTCGTTTTGCCTCTCCCTCTCTTGCCAACCTCTCTTTGCCAACCTTTCTTTTGCCCCTTGTCTGGCACGCAGTGACGAGGCCAAGTGCAGGCAGGCAGGAATGGATGGGTACCTCACAAAGCCAATCAACATACGGTGCGTACAAAGGGGAAGGTCATGCATAGCATCCATGTTAACAGCTTCATGCATTTTCCATCTGTGGCTGTGCTCCTAACTTGCACAGCTTGCTCGTTGTTCAAGCGCCTAAAAAGTCATCTCCCTGTGACCCCTGGCTCTCGGTGCTTGTCTCTGCTTCCGTCTTGCACAGCTTGCTGGTGGACACTGTTCAGCGGCTGGTCAGCAACAACAGGAGGGCAGCAAGGCGAAGCTTGAGCAACCTTGGCGCGACTGCCACTGCCAGCGGCACTGCCGTGGCCAATCAAGGCAGCTTCAGCAGCGCTTCCAGTAACAGCCCATACACCCAGCCCTTTAGGGTCAACTGCTAGTACCACTCGCCCTAGTCCAGGCATACGGACATCATTTTCTTACACGTTGGGGGCGAGTAAGGGGACATTGAGTACCTACTGGTTGGAGTAGCCCAGCTTTGTGTAGGTTAGCAGGGTAGTTTTGTTTTACAGGCTTCATTTGTGTAGTCCATGAGTTGTAAGGGAAAGTTCAGCGCTTTCAGGGTGTGGGGTTTTGCTGGACAAAGAACTGTTGGAGCTGGTAAAACGATATGTTTCCACGTCATAAGACAATGCTACAGTATAATGAGCTACGTATAACAATTGTGAACGACTTTCCCGCTTCATTCACCAGGGATTGAGACCCCCTGCTTGAGGCGTTCCCGCTTCAGCTTCCTCTGTGAGACGGGTTTCTTCTTCTTGGGTGTCAGAACGCTCTGTGCGTAGAAGTACATGGCAGCGTGGCCGACGAGGAAGAGAACGAAGAAGCCCACCACGACCAGGATGACTAGCAGCGTGGGTTGAAGCCTGAATCAGGTGGCGTTTGACCCTGTAGGAAAAGGAAAATAAGAGATGCACTTTAAAAAGAAATTCCGAAATAAAACAAGCCACTACCACCAGGACGACCAGGAGCGTGGGGTTGAGCCTGAAGGACCGTCTGTCCCTGGGGAAACGGAGATAAAAGGCGAAATTTGAGAAAGGATTTCAGGTCGATGGTTAGAATGCGGAGAATCAGGATCAGGGAGGGGAGATGGCACCTGACCAAGGAAATAAGGCAACCAGCTCATTTCGAGGCTGTTGCATGAGAAAATTTTAAGATGTACGGCGAGATCCATTAGCAAAAAGTCAATGACTGGTTCAATATCCCAAGAGAGTCCACGTTTCACCAGTGTTTACATAAGATCACGTCCACCGCACTTGTTTATTGCGAATTCTGAAGACAAACACGGAAAGAACGGCTGACATACCTCTCCTGGGCCCGCCATGACGAGGTGTGCTCAAAATAAATCCTCCTCAGCAGAGATGACAGGGAAGAACTGGCAGGCGAGTCACTGTTTTCGAAAACTGTAGTGAAAGGATGAGTAGGATCTGCTCTGCAAAATTATGCTTGCGAACTAAAATTTAGGTTTGACAGAATGTGTCCGTCCTAGTGCCTAGATTACTGCTGGAAGATTCTGATGGAGTGGTTGAGAAAGTTGGATTCTGGAAGTCTGGAGCTAGTTTTATGGGGTGTGATTATAAACGAAGTTGTTGTCAGATCGGAGGGACAGTAGCCGTTGCGTTGGTCCTCTTGCGACCGTGAGGTTTTCGTGTTTCTGGTCAAACTTGGCGCCAAAATAATTGGCGAGCTCATTGATTGGCTCGCCAGTTCATATTCTCAGTAACGCTGTAATGTGTACAAAGCACTGACACATTCCCCAAGAACATTTACTATGAAAAGAATTTATCGCTGAACGCGGATTTCCACTCCAGAATTTGGCAATCCAGTGCCCGCCAAGCAAACCTATAACTTCCAGAATTTTCCCCTTACCTTGCTTTAGCCAGTTCAACATCCTTCCTAGACCTATCCAAGCGCTCTAAAGTGGAAAAGAACCGCTTTGTTCAGTGAATTTGAGTGGCATGGCTGAATGAATTGCGGTCATTGAAGCGAGTCTCTGCAGTCACCATCAGGAAAATGCATCAGCCACAATGTCATGGCGACCGTGCTCAGCTCACGTTCGTCCCTTCCGAAAAGCACAGTTCTCGCCATTGGCTTAACAGTCAACGAGCTGACGGGCGCGAAGTTCGTCTATACTGGACAGTCTTTCTTACTTGCCGGCGCCGGCAGACAGCCTCCACGTGTAGACGGCGATGGGGTAACCAGATCCTCCTGGCGCGTAGTAGTTTTCGCGAACTCGCTTGAGCGACGTAAGCGACAGAAAGGCGACACTTCGAGTGGTAGTAACCAGCTCGGCGAAGACATCAAGGCGAGAAGCGAATCTGGAAGGACCAGACGAGCTTCGCGAAAGTATGTAATCGTTCATTCCGTATGTCCATGCAGGTGATGGCAAGACAAGTTGCAACGTTTCCTGTTGAAAGGTTTTACTCCAACAATTATGTCTCGTTCCGAATCACACTCTGTGGTATACCTGTGACGCACTCAACATTTCATCGCTCGGCATTCGTTCCTTGACATTCATCCCTTCACAATCAACCCGTGACAATTGCGCTTATCCCTTTGCACTCTTCCCCTCTTCTTTTTCGCTGTTCTGCGCCACAGGAATCTCCTTCGGAAGTCTTGGGAAAGGAGCGCACGAGCAGGAGGAAGAAACGAGGAATTTAAACAGCTGACCGCTTCGGAAGGAGAAGCTAGAGGGAGAGGAGGAGGAAGAAGTGAGGGACGAGAAGGACGAAGAAGGCAGGGAGGGCAAGGAGGGCGAGCGGGTACGAGAAGCAGCCTGCCTGCCGACGATACGCAGTCAGCCGGTCCATGCCTCGGAAGCAGCATGATTGGATCTTTTCTGTTGGATCTCCTAACGGTACTCCCTTTTCACATTTGCTCATTCCCCCCACTTCAGTTGCTCATTGAACCCTGGTTACACGCTTCTGTTCGTTCTCTTTGTCAATTCTTACCATCCTGTCTTCAACGCTCCCTCCGTGCCTCTCTCATTCCACCCCTCCCTCCCATCCTCAGTCTCCTCCCCCAGCAGCAGCAGCAGTGGCCTCAATCGCCCACCTCCCGCACAGCTGACCCTTGCTGTGGCCGCTTCTGCTGCTGCTGCTTGCGCCGCTGCTCTCATGCTGCTGCACTCTCGGTTCGCCCAGACAGCACTTGAGCGTGCAGGAAGCGTGCCGTGGGGCGTGCAGAAGGGCTGTGATGAGGAGGAACGTGCAGAGGAGAAAGGCGAGCGTACAGGGAAGCGTGCAGGGAAGCGTGCAGACACACAAGAAGGCAGATTACGGGGGAGTGAGGAGATGTTTGAGGCGCCTCAACAATCACTTGATGCGTGCAGGGAAGCGTGCTGAGGGGCGTGCAGAAGGGCGTGATGAGGAGCGTGCAGAGGAGGAAAGGCGAGCGTACAGGGAAGCGTGCAGGAAGCGTGCAGACACACAAGAAGGCAGACTACGGGGAGTAGTGAGGAGATGTTTGAGGCGCCTCAAAAATCACTTGAGCGTGCAGGGAAGCGTGTCCGAGGGCGTGCAGAAGGGCGTGATGAGGAGCGTGCAGAGGAGAAAGGCGAGCGTATCAGGGAAGCGTGGAGAGGATGGCAGGCGATCGTACAGGAAGCGTGCAGAGGAGGCAGGCGAGCGTGCAGGGAAGCGTTGCAGACACACAACAAGGCAGATTACGGGGAGAGAGGGATGGCGGGAGATGCGGCAAGAGGTTTTTGCAGGGGGGGTTGCTCGGGTTGGTGCAAGGGTATGTTGCTGCAGGGAATGGGGGGATAGCAGAGGTGCACGGTAGATTTACATCGTTCCTTGACGTTCAAGGAACTGATGGAGGGAGGGTGGAAGCGAGATCAGGGAAGACGAAGGAAGCCCGGAAACTCTTACAGCTGGTGTGGAGAGAGTAGGGGAGCCAGTTGGGGGAGTGGTGGGGAGACCGCTGGGAGCGAGAATGAACTGGAGGGTTTAACTGGAAGGGGGAGCGATGAGCTAGGCACAGAAGGTAGTGCTGAGGAGATGGAGGGGATTCAAACCGACGGGAGCGAAAGGAGTGAGAGAGAGTGGCTTGGCCCAGCTGTGGCTGGAGGGGCAGAGAGCAGGGAGCAGGTGGGGGGACGACAGGGGGAAGGGGAAAGGAGCGGATGGGCGGAGGGACGAGGCGAGAGTGGGTTTGGAGAGAAGAGGGTAAAGATGCAGTGGATGGGCGTGAGGATATGAGGCGGAGAGGTAGTGGTGATGGGGATGAGGAAGGGGATGAGGGGAAGGGTGAGGGAGAGATAAGGGAGACCTGCCAGGGGACTTGGAAGAAGATGAACTGCTCAAGTTACTGCAAGGTAACGGAAGGGACATGCATGTGTCACATTTGAGAATTCTCTAAGGATGGGGGAGGGATACGAGAGACCTGCCAGGGGACTCGGATGAAGGTAAAACTCCTCAAGTTGCTGCAAGGTAACCGAGAATACATGAAGATAGGTGCTACCGCTCCAGATCCATGTGATCCCGAATTCTGACGAGGCAAAGTAATGTATTCAGATTTTTGCAGTCTCCATGATACCTGCTGCCAACTTGCGACCTAGATGCTTCCAGATTCCACGTTGTTCACTCCATGTTTTTCAGGGTTGCACGCCGCAATAGACGTTCTCGGAGTTGCAGATTTCTCGTCATTTCCCTCGATCCATGTCTTTCCCGTTTCGTTTGTGTGGATGATGAGGTGGGTGACAGTGACAGGGCGATTTCCAGCATGTCCTTCGCGTCCCTATCATCCACAACACACGACTTCGTTTCCTGTTTCTTTATGAATTATTCATAAGTCCTGTTTTCTGCCGCCTTTTGTCTCCCCTTGCCTCGACAGCTCAAGCCATAGCGATTGGAGCAACCAGATCGTGCTGCAGGTAACGAAAATGTTGAACTTCTTTGGTAAATGAGGGTTGTTGTATATAACGGTGTACGCATACAACAGTTCAGAGCGTTAACGTTTTATAGGTATCCATGCACTCGCCTCCTCTATAGTTTCCCATGTTTCATGTACTCATGTGCTTTAGTACTTTCCCAAGTTTCATGTACTCATGTGCTTTAGTACTTTCCCAAGTTTCATGTACTCATGTGCTTTGTACTTTCCAAGTTTCATGTACTCACGTGCTCTAGTACTTTCCCAAGTTTCACGTTTCACTCCTCCCTTTTCCCCTTCCCTTACACCAGGGCTTTACTGGGAGTCACACGGTCAACCCCAGGGCTGGTGGCGGCACCTAGCCTCCCTCGGGCCTGCCATTGCTGCTGCTGGCTTCACGGCTGTCCTGGCTACCCCCCGCCTCTTCGTCCCTTGCCCCACAGGTAAACCCCCGCCGCTTCCTCTCTCGCCCCTCAAGGTAAGCCCCCTGCCTCTTTGAATTGCGGCC